TCTTTTGGTAACCATACCAACCTACCTAAGTTTTCAAGACAGTACACATGGTCTATAATATTACTAGGCATCTGCGTCTTTTATAGGTTCTCGTAAACAATAGGAGTAATATAATTGAGAAATCTCCAAGTACGTAGTTAATCGCTATATGACACGTAAAACCCTAAAACTATCACTACTATTTTAGGAAATAGGATTGTTAATGAGTAATGACAATTAGTGGAACACGTAATATTTAGATATTATATATCAGGAGCATGAAAAAATGAATTTCTGTTGGACCCGTTATCATGCATTTGAAGATGTTGAAGTCATCAATTTAAAGTTTTTAGCAAGACCAGTTCAATGAAATTCAACAATATTGTAGGTCATGTTCAATATATTGAATCTATGATATCATATTGTATTAACAATAATATTTCCTAAAATTACAAACATTTTGGTATTATAACAGGTCCGAGTTTTAGTCAAGTTCGGCACTCAAAGCTAAATTATTGACTATTCTGATTATTTATACTATGAATCATATTATGGAAAAGATTTAAATACTCTTGAGTCTCGAGCAAGGCCATGCCACTTGACGAATCTTTTGTTGTTTTCTACGACTTTGAAGTCTAACTTCATTTGGAATTTTTATCAAAGAAAAAAAACTTCAAGAGCAAATTGGTGTACATGCAAATACTTAAGATCCAAGCTCGAGTTTTTTTGGGATTGCTTTAATTAATTCTACAATATAATTCCTTTTGGATTACTTCGATTCTAAATTTTGATCCAATACTTTTTCCTGAATTTTGGAAGTCTTACCAAAAAATAACCCGGAGAGCATACTGTCACCATATATACCCACTTTGACGAATAAAGCTAATTAAATTATCAGTTTTTTTTTTTATTATTTTCTTATATCTACTATACATTTTTGCAACACTTTTTGGGGTTCCTAATCGGGTCAAATTTTGTTTAATTTTGACCCGGAAATCTTCAATCGGATCTTTCCTTATTTTTGACAAAATTAAAAAACGAAAATTAATCAATAAAATCTAAAAAATATATATTTTCTCAACTAATTACTATACCTAAACTCTTTATTTATGGCATATTCTCTACAATTTTTATAGATATAGAAATCAAATATGATTATTTAATGCTAATATAACAAATTTGAACTAATTTCCTAAAACCTCTCTACCTAATTAAAACATAAATATATGATTCTCATTTCACTTTTATATGATCTTATATTTATATTATTTTGAACTATTATAAAATATATATACTTAATAAAAAAATTCGATTTTTTTTCTGCATATGCTATAATTCAAATTTTTTTAAACGGACATATATTACTCAATCGATGAAGAAAAAAGTATGTGTACAATCTATATTAACATTTTTGAAAAACAAATTTGCGCGTTTCATCAGGTCGTATATTTTTTTTACTCTGACCCGGAATTGAGCCATTCAGATATTTTCTTAAGTTCTAAAATTTACTAAAACGGGACAATATACCACGGTGAAATCTTAAAATTAACAAATCGAAATACAATTATTTAGTATTTTAATATACATTTTTAAAATATTTTTACGGGTTGGTCTAAAACACACACTAATTTGAAAAAATATCTATATATACATTTTTGGATCACAATTAGCAAATAAATCCTGAAGTTGAGAAGTATTTACAATGACATGCCACTAGCATTAATTATTTAGATTTGTTTTATTTAAGTAAAGATTTTTAATTGAAATTCATTTCTCATATATTTAGCAAAAGTCTCTACAAAATCTTTCTTTATCTATTTAAGTAAAGATTCTGAAATTAAATATGTTCTCAACAATTTACCAAAAATCTCTACACAATCTTTTTAAAAATCTCGACTTAGTTAACTTCTGATTTTTATCTGCAAAAAAAAAATTAATTGTAACAGTTCTCAGAATTTGCAATAAATAATAAATCTAGATGACAAAAAAAAAGTGATGTAAAAATCGGGAATGTTGATACTACAATTTCTTCTACTTCTTTTTTTCATATAATGAAAATTATTTTTTAGGGATATTTTTAGGCCTGGGCAAAATACCCGGAACCGAATACCCGAACCAAAAAACCCGAACAATACCCGAACCGAACCCGAACCCGATTTTTAAAAATACCCGAATGGGTCCTAACTCCTACCCGAAAAAAACCCGAACCGAACCCGAACCGAATCCAATACCCGAATGTACTCGAATACAAATATACACCTAAAAATATTAGTTATTTTTATTTTTATAATACCCGAAATACCTAAAATTACAATCATAAAACCGAATATATTAGGTATTTTAGATATTTTTGGTTATATTTGGGTAAAGAGTAACCAATGTATTTTCGAGAAATCGGGTATTTCGGTTAGATTTGGGTATATATGAGTTAAAAACCCAAACCCGACCCGAACCCGAAAATATTCCAGGTATTTTTGGTTATTTTCGGGTATTTTGCTTTTTTATTAAAATACCCGAACCGACCCGAACCCGAACCGAACCCGAACCGAATTTTTAGAATACCCGAATGTGTCTTGACCCCCTACCCGAATAGACCCGATACCCGAAAAAAAAGAACCGAACCCGAATGGGTACCCGAATGCCCAAGCCTAGATATTTTCTTAAAACCTCTAAACAAAACAAAGGGTTTCAAAAGATAGCTTCTCTTTTGGCGGGTGGATCCGCAAACTCGCAACTCTCTACGGGCTTATCCGCATGAACCTGCAACCCGTAGTGGATAAAAATATTATTCAAAAAAAAATAACAAATGATGTTTAATTTTACGGGACGGGGTTATATGGTGCAACAGGTTTAGATCAATATTAATATTAAACAATATACTATGGATGAAATCCTAGAATTAAAAATCAAAATTTAATTATAAAATCAGAAACACTAAACAAAATAAACAATATTAACAAAACAAATACAACTTAAAATTTTGCAAAATAATTTTTTAGTTATAAAAAAATTGACCCGCGGTGTACCGCGGGGTAAAATCTAGATTTGGAAGTTAAAGGAGAATTTTTTTTAAAAAAAAATAATAGCTCCGCGGTGTACCGCAAGAAAAATCTTTCTCCTAAACTGAGGCAAGAAGAAGAAGAAAGCGAAATGTCGTTTAAGTGTATATATAGATATACCATTTAAACCTTAAACACAATTAATATACTCAAAATTATTAATATAGATATATGGATGATACATTTATAAAATAGGTCGAAATATTTTATTATACTCTCTATTAATAAACAAAACTAATTATATTTAGATTTTTTTAAAAAAATTATAGCCCCGCGGTGTACCGCGGGTTCAAATCTAGTATATATATATTATAGAAACTATTTGAAAGCAAACTTTTAAATTGACTCGAATTATATGTCTTTTAAATAAAAGTGTTATTAAAAGAAATAACAAAATGATGTTTAATTTTACGGGACATGATTATATGGTGGGACGGGTCGGATTTGGATTGATATTAATACGGGATAATATATCACGGGTGAAATCCTGGGATTAACAAATCAAAATACAATTATACAATTTTAAACACTAAACAAAAAAATACAACTTAAAATTTTCATTTTTAGTTACAACGCATGTGACTCGAAATGTCCAACAAAAAATATTATATACAATAAATTCATCAGTTTATAAAAAAACAAAAAAATCAAATAATTAACCCGCGGTGTACCGCGGGTAACAATCTAGTAAATGTACATAATTTTATCATAGTGGTGGGAAAAAAGGTAATCAATCATTTTTTTGTTTTAAAAAAGGTAATCTATCATGCACGTGGATTATTTTTGCCATGTCTCTGCCAAGTGCCAACCAATGTAGTTATTTTTGTGTATATACATGGACTAAATAAAAAACGTGCACCATCCGCCAAATCTCACCTGTCAAATTTCACAAGTTGCATCATACTTTTTGTTCTTAATTTTTTTATTATATATTTGATTAAAAGTTCTGGTAGATCGGTTCATATATGATTGCTTGTATAGTTGTATTGTATAATTATATTAATAAACCTATCAACCATTTTAACAAAAAAAAAAAAATACAGTATATTTTGCATCAACAAAAAATAAAAAGTTTATTAACAACCAAAATATATATAGCTGAGCACAGAGCACCCCCTCTCTGCAGTTTCAGATGAGCACTATGGTTTCAAGTATCAATCGCGCGAGTAAGTAAGAACAACATTATTGGGAGGTACTTAGTTTTGGTTCTTAGTAAATTTTTTGGTTCTTAGCCCAATTTTTGACTCTTAGCTAAGAGTCATTCTTTAGCAAAATCATCAATTACACCTTTAATTTTAATCTTTTTTGAGCTACGAACCAAGTTAAGAACCTCCCAATAAGGATGGTCTGAATGCTTTTGAATTTTGGATGTTCTCTTCACAATTTTATGAGATGGTTTCTGAGTTTTTGCCGGGTGCTAGGGCTTTTCAGTTATGGGCGGGCTTAATCAGAGCATCTCCATCAATAGTGTCTCATTGAAACACTCTTTTAAAAAAAATATAAAAAATGAAAAAGTAAGAAAGAGAAAAAATGAGAAACTCTGAGAAACCCAATAAACCACTTGTTTTTCATCTATTGGTTTAATTTTATATTTATGATTAAAAATAATTATATAACTGAAATTTATTAAAATATTAATATTTTTTTTGTTTGAAAAACTCAAAGAGTGTCTTGGAGATGGTCTTATGATTCATTTTATGTGTTGGACTTTTGAAACCAAAAAAAAAAAAAATCATGAATAGTTTACGTTTTCTATTGATCATTCTTCACTGAACGAGGACTTATAATTTGCACACTAGGTGATCTAATAGATTTCGCGAGTGAAGTAATTAAACTGTACGTGTTTACCAAAAGAAAAGAGTAATTATTTGTATCTATGAAATATAAAGTAAGAATATGAATTCAGAATTACAGTATTAATCATGAACTAATTAAGCTTGTTTGTGGATCAACGAGTTCATGAGTCCAAATCACATAATTTAATTAGGAGGTACCGGTTAAGACAAATACAACGAAATCCACTTTATTAATACACATTATCAACACAGTCTGATATCTTTGGAACAAAAACTCTTTATAAACTAACTAAATGATAATTAGAACAAATAAAAATATATTCCCTTTCTTTTGGCTTCCGAGTTTAACACAATTCAACAACAGGTGATAGTGTGACGAAGCGAGACGACATATGAGGTCTCAAGCTTCTGGTCGAACCAGGGAGAACAATCCTTTAGCCATAATTAGAATCGACAAATTGGGTTGATTTTTCCGACTTTGACTTAGCCCTCAAGGTAACCTTTGTTTTGCAGGTAAGAGATAATGTTCTCAGCCATCTGACGTGGCGAACATGAATCGTCGTCTCCTGTGTATTTCAGCACTACCTGTAAGAAATTACATAGATACATCAATACTTTAATAGTACAGATTTACTTTCCAAAATCTGATCAGTTACATTATTGAATAAACGTGACGAACCTCGCAATTCACTGGTGCCTCGTAAGGGTCGTCGATTCCAGTGAAGCCTGGATAAATTCAAGAAAACTCAACAATTAGGTCAAAAAGTCAAAGTCAACTTTTCTACAAGTGTGTTTTTTTTGCATACCTTTGATTTTGCCGGCACGTGCAAGCTTGTACAACCCCTTTGGATCTCTTGACTCGCACACATGAAGAGGAACGTCCATGAAGACCTAAAACAAAGCAAGTTTTCGTAATATAATCACTATATACTAATGTATCTTCTATAACAAGCAAATTCATAGTAAAACGTTATAGCGTACCTCGACGAAATCGCCCTCAGGTAACAAGGACCGGCACGCGTCTCTGTCTCTCCGGTACGGAGAAATCAAACTTGCTATACAAATGACTCCAACGTCAGCAAACAACTTAGCCACCTCACCTGATGATATCAAATTAGAGATCAATCATTAACACATCATTATAACACGTTGATGATATACATATAGCGGAATCGTTTTTTATATCAAAATGTTAAATGTATTGGTTGGTACCAATTCTTCTAATGTTTTCGGTGCGGTCCTCTGTTTTGAAAGTGAGGTCACGGTTAAGGCCGTGACGGACATTGTCGCCGTCCAGTGTGTAAGTAAGTTTGCCTCTTTCAAACAATGCTTTACTTAGTGCACAAGCAACAGTGCTTTTCCCTGAACCACTGAGACCAGTGATCCAAACGACACAACCCTTTTGTTGAAGAAGTTGTTGTCTGTCGCATCTGCAGATTGAACTCTCGTGCCACACGATGTTCTCTGCTCTCTCTTTTCCGTTTATTCTTCCCTCTTTCAGAATCGTTTCTGCCAAAACACAAAGTTAAAAAGATCAGAAAAAGACAATCTGTGGAGATGCTTAAACCTGAATTGTTTTTTTTGGAATGTGTTCGAAACAGAGAGAGATTGAGAACCTGAAAGGGCGGGAAAATCAGCGGTGAGGGAAGCTTGAACAGAGACGTTAACGGCGGATACTGGATGAAAAGAAGCAGAATTCGCTACTAATTTTCGGTCCGCCGCAATAGACGACGCAGGCAGCTTGAGGAAACCGTCACTTGGAGGTTTTCGGTGAGAATCGCCGCCGAGACCTGGAGTAGAACAGAAAACTGACGGTCGCGATGCTCTGATAGCTAATCCTTCCATTGAATCTGACGGCCAAGAACGGTGTGTGGGTTTATAGTTTTATGATACAAAATAAATGATTATGTATAAGAAAGATGGATTATATTGAAATTATATAGAGAAGACTTAAAGAGTTAAGAGGAAGAAAGCAGGTGAGAAGGAGAGTAATGGTACTACTACCAACAATATAATTTCTCCACAAAAAACACATGACCATATTCCAACATCAATTCAATAGTCCTATTAAAAGAAATCAATTACTTTCTTTACACAAAACAGAACAAGTTAGTAGTATTTACCGGGTTAAAAGTTTTTTAATTTGAATAAAAATATATATTATATAGTGGTTTTGGTATGTGTGCATGGGTCACTGTTGGAGGCCAATCTTTTTGGGAAAATGATTGTATGACTGATTTTTGCCATCTACCAACCTACCAATGCCCCCATTCGGAGACCCATGTGATTTAATAAGCTATATACACTTGAATGTATATATATATGAAGAGAATAATGGAGTTCTAATAATATTTTCAAAATAATATTCAACACTTTTCTTGTTGCAGTACTTCTTTGACAGTCAAAGCAGGCGGTTCCCTCTGTGTTATAGGGCTTACATTTATATTGGGCCTTGTAGCCCAAACTGTACTATCCTTTTTGAGGCAGACTTAACAATGGCTGTGACAAATTCAGAAGAAGACTATCAACGAACACATTTTTTTTTTTTCCAACTACAGTACACCACCAATTAAGACTTTGTTGATGATAATCTGCGATACTAATAAGTGTAAGATTGTAATTCAACTCTGAAACTTGTCACAAATAAAGGCAAATATGTAAAGAAGCAACATTCAAGGGAACACACAATCATCATCTCGAATACAAATAGACTTGTTTAAAAGAGTGCTTCTTTGGAGATGTCTCTCATATAAATGTTCAAGCTCGAGAATCTCCTTCACTGGAAATGGTAACCAAAGAAACCCTTTCTTCTTCCGGCAAAACTGACCAATTAGGAGACTGTACAGCTCTCAGCCACCGGAAATCATCCACATTGGCCCAATTCTTAGTCTCCTCCTCCAAACCCGCCGTCTTCAAATCTTCCTCAATTCCTTGGTAATCCAAACAATAAGGAGCGAATCTGACACCATTGCTGTCTTCAATTATGGGACGACTCCTCACTCTCAGGTAGAAATCACTCTTCCTAGCGCAATGGATTCTGATCTGATGCGACGCCAATACAAGAACACAATCTTCTACGTCATCAATCAGAATTGAACCAATCACTGGACCTGTGTACACATTGCACTTCTTTAATCGGTGAAGGAACAGAGCGTTAACAGTTCCTGTTAATTTTACTTGACATGAATCAAGATCCGACAATGTGAATTCTCCGATCGACGAGCCTTTGAAACTTTTCACCAGAGTCACTCCGTGTTTGTTTCTCAATCCCGGAGAATCGCGTACGGGGAGGAGTTTCGGAGGTAAAACGGCGTCGGATTTCTGTATCTCCGGGAGTTTTGATTCCGGCTTTTTGGTCGTTGATTTGCTCTTGAACGAGAACTTCTTCTTCGGGACTAACTCGCCGGAGAGAATATCGAGACTCTGTTTGAGATCGGATACAATTTTCAGAGAGGATCGAACCTCGTAGGAAGGAAGAAAATACGAGTTCTCAGCGAGAAGCTTCTCCAGATTGTTAATAGCTACGGAGATCTCAGCAAGATCCGATTTAAGCTTTGACGAATCCGTAGAGGAGGAAACGAGTCGTGACTCAGCGATCCGAGACTCGATGGATCGCTTTGAATCGGAGAATTTAGCGAGAAACGAGGATGTCGATTCAAGAGTGGAGGAGGACGACGAAGAGGAAGCGTCAGGTGAATCTGATTTTCGAGCTTGGTGACGAGCAGAGAGACGCTCGAGCATGTCATGGTGCTTCTTCTGCAATGCCGGATCTAGGGTTTCGGCAGTGAAGCTCTGATCGTTGTCTTCCATATCGTTTACCCAATTGTGTGATTGTGACGGCGGCGTTTCCGAATCCAAACTAGGACCAAGATTAACCTAAACGTTGTCGTTTTAATGAAATGAAAATGATGAAACAGTGATATTGCAAATTTGTCCTCCATGATGTGAAGTGTGCTGACATAAACCTCCGGTTATCTATTGATTACAAAATAGCCCAAAATCAAGAGTAGAATCAAAATTAAAACTCTCATCTAATGTTGATAAAAGGGGTTTATGTGTATTTAGAGTGCTCATAAGTTCTAAGGTTTTATGGTTTGGATTGGTTAATGTTATATATTTTATAAATCAACGTTCTTTCAATACGTGATATAGTAATCTGTCACTAATATCACTAATACGTGATATATTACCCTAGATAAAAATTTACACAGAACACGTTTTTCATACTATGGGATTGTAGATAATAATAAAAAATGATATCAATTAATTTATTATCTTTGAAATGGTGATCATACAAATTGAAACCGATACAAAAACGATTTTAGCTGTTCAATTGAGCATTTTGTTCAAATATTGGATGTCTCGGTGGTTTGCAACAACAACTCGACTTGGTCCTAAATGATGCACAAGTCCAGTCTTTATAACCTTTCGACTTGCAAAGCTGCTGACAATTGTCATTGCACGGTCCAATACAGTCGGCTTGAACAGTAATTGCAGTTGCTTGACCTACAAAAATAATAAAAATTACTAGTTAGAAATAAATGTAATATGTAAAGCCAAAATATATTGTAAACTTTAACATATGAGCTATAAGAGTATAACTAAGAAAGTATAAAGAAAAATGAAAAAAATTAGAGTGTTTGTTTAACCTGCAATCACCAACAACAAAACTATTGCGATAGTAATAACATCTAAAGATTTGATCTTGGCCATTTTTTGTTTTAAGTATTGTTCTAATGTATAATGTAGTGTTGTAAAATATTTTCTTATGTTTTGTGTTGATGGATTGTGTTGAGATCTAATGAGTTTTTATATAGATAATTGATGACACAAATTCCAAACTACAATCAAACAGATACATTGAACCAACTTATTTTTATAGGAATTTTGACTAGAAAGTAAATTGGTAAAATATAATTTGCCATATAATAAATTTGGTAGAAAATAATTATATGTAAGGAAATATATCACAAAAAGTTTAAACATGTATTGGTCAAAATAATAACTTGATTATATAAGTGAAAATGAGAATATAAGATAGACTTACTATTTTAAAAAATGTATATTAAAGAATACCAGATTTTTTTCTTTTTGTTTCAAAATATCAAAAATATTAATAAAGATAAAATTTCATAGCATATAATTAAGGTATGGCATTTTAGGTGATAAAAATAAAAATTTATGATATTCCATTATAGGTGATCAAAAATTTATACCATATAATTAAGTTGTGATGTTTTAGGTTGTAAAGATAATTTTTATAATATTTAATTATATGTGATATTAAAACTATTTTTTTTACAGCATATGATTAAGATTTGGGCACAACAGAGAATTAAGTTTAAACTATCAAAAGACAAAATAAGGTGAATAAAATAACAATTCAAACAATAATAAGTTTTCAAAAAGTAAAAGTGAAATTTCGTAAAGTTGACAAATTTGGAGGTGTAATTTGCAATTTTGACTGAATAGTTTTTGATCATCAAATCCACATCTTCCTTCGTTGCTTCTTCGCTTTTATAACAGAAAAGAAAAAAGAGAAAACTTTAATAAATAAATCGATCCTCTTCTCTTCGGCTCCTTGGAAATCTGAATTATCCGATCGAATCGAACCATCGCAGAGGCTAAAGAAGAGGATAATACTTCCTTTGAGTCAAATCGGACGAGTCAGGAACAGGAAAAACGGTGATACGGAAGCTAGTTCTAGGGCTAATGGGCGCCGCGGGCTCCAAACTCGAGAAAGCTCTCGGCGACCAGTTCCCCGAAGGAGAACGCTACTTTGGATTCGAGAATTTCGGCAACACTTGCTACTGTAACAGCGTTTTGCAGGTCCTTATCTCTCTCTATCCTTTGGTTTCACTGCCTTTTGTTGTTTCCCCCAATCTCGAATTCGACTTTGACGATTTCTTCTGTGTTTTGTTGAATTAGTGTCTTTTAATCCCTAAATATGAGACGATTTTTCCCAGTTAGAATCGTATCAGGGTTTGATTTCAAATTCGATATCTAATATGAGGTTTATACGTGTATCAGCTCTATTGATTTGTCGATATCTCTGTGTGCTATGTATATGAATGAGTTCTCTGGACTGGAGAAAGGCTTTTGCTGATCATTGGCCTGTGATCTTCTTCAATTTTATGTATTGAATCTTTATTTTTTTGTACAGGCTCTTTATTTCTGTGTTCCTTTCCGTGAACAATTGCTTGAATACTATACCAGTAATAAAAGCGTCGCCGATGCTGAAGAGAATCTTATGACCTGCCTGGCAGACTTGTTTTCGCAGGTATTTATCATCTTTGCCTTTCTTCTCCTTTTGAGAGTTTCATTTTTTTGTTTACTCTTCCGTGCTAGTCCTCACTTGAATCCAGTGACTAATCTTTCATTCACTGAAAATATTTCTCTTGTGCAAGCTTGGTTTACTCTTGCTTTTTCACTTGACATCATAAGTGGATTGAGTCACTTATTTAAAGACACAAGTCAATGTTTTTGGTATAACATGAATTTGATACTATTGTGGTGTATATTGTTAGTTTATCTTCGAGAATCTAAATGTTCTTGATGTAGTGCTTAGTATGTCATCATCTGTTTGATTATGGTATGCTAGTCATTCTGTAGAAAAAAGAGAGTGTAATCATTAGTCTGATCATTCTAATTCATTCCGTAGATAAGTTCCCAGAAGAAGAAAACTGGTGTTATTGCGCCTAAGCGATTTGTACAGAGGTTGAAGAAACAAAATGAGCTGTTTCGGAGCTATATGCACCAGGTGATCTTTGCAAATCTCCCCATCTTTTCAGGCGCTATTTTACCAAAGATGTGAGAAAAGCAATTAACTTTTGATTGATTTTGCGTTTCTACCCTCATGTAGGATGCACATGAATTCCTGAATTATTTACTGAATGAAGTTGTTGACATACTGGAGAAAGAGGCAAAAGCTACAAAAACTGAACATGAAACCTCGTCATCATCATCTCCCGAAAAGATTGCAAATGGACTGAAAGTCCCTCAGGCAAATGGTGTTGTGCACAAAGAGCCTATTGTTACTTGGGTGCACAATATTTTTCAGGTTAGTTGTTTCTAATGAAAAGGTCCACTTTTCCTTTTCAGGTGGACTATGTAGTGCAATTTTTGGCTAAATTTAAATTCCGGGTATGTACTCAGGGCATACTTACCAACGAGACAAGGTGTCTGCGATGTGAAACAGTGACAGCAAGAGACGAAACATTCCTAGACCTTAGCCTTGACATTGAACAGAACAGTTCGATAACTAGCTGTTTGAAAAATTTCAGCTCCACTGAGACGCTTCACGCTGAAGACAAATTCTTTTGTGACAAATGCTGCAGGTAAAATGTTGGTTCAAATTTCAATTCCTCAGGTATCCTTTAATAGCTGCAACTAAATATTGGTCTTTAAGCTCCCTCTTTTCCTTCAATGGCTGCTTTGTATGATTAAGCGCTCCAAAGTGTTAGACTTTGTTACGCCTGATTATTGAATGTTTATATTTGCAGCTTACAAGAAGCACAGAAGCGGATGAAGATCAAGAAGCCACCACACATCCTAGTCATCCATCTAAAACGATTCAAATACATCGAACAGCTAGGCCGCTACAAGAAGCTCTCATATCGAGTTGTCTTCCCTTTGGAGCTAAAACTGAGCAACACAGTGGAACCATACGCAGACGTGGAGTACTCTCTGTTTGCAGTGGTGGTTCATGTCGGAAGTGGACCTAACCATGGTCATTACGTCAGCCTTGTGAAAAGCCATAACCATTGGCTGTTCTTTGATGATGAGAATGTTGAGATGATTGAAGAATCAGCTGTTCAAACATTCTTTGGATCGTCTCAGGAGTATTCGAGCAATACTGATCATGGTTACATCCTGTTCTATGAGAGCCTTGGACCGGCCAAGTAAAAGCTGAGAAAGCAGAAAAAATGACTTTCTTCGTTTTTTTTTCTTTAACTATTATTAGTAATGGTATATGTTTGTCTTTAAAAGTAAACTCAATTGACAGTAACTTTTTTTTTTTTTTTTCTCTCTGTCTCTCTCTCTCTCTCCCAGAGATATTTGGTGAGTTTTAAATTGGAAGTTTTAACTGGAATTTGTATACTTTGAAAAAGGCCATGTACAGTTTATGGCAAATAACTTCCCTTGTCTTTGTATCCTTTTTCAAACAAAGAAAAAAAAGCAAGGAAGAAGATAACAATATGTTGAATTGCATTTTTAAGTTTTTAAATTTTGGCCTAATGTTTTAGATTAGCGTCTTCTTGAAGTAGCAGGCTAGCAGCAATGCATGTTAAATAACTTTTCCTTTTCACAACAAAACACAGTATACCAAATTGGTTGTAAGTGTTGTTATATATTATGGAATCAGCGGCCCATTAAGAACAATTGGGCGGATAATGAAATTAGGCCCCGCGATAATCACGTTGTCGTGAGAATAAAGTTAAAAAACAAAAAAAAACAAAGAGACAAAACTCAAAAGAAAGTTCACACGGGAGAAGTTGACGAAGAAGATACAGACAGAGAGGCTTGGATCACCCGTGAGCTATGATGTGCATTTTTTACTCTACCATAAATGTTTTCATTATGTGATTTTTACAGATTTAAGAGTAATTAAGAGTAGTACTTCCAAAACTATGACATATTTGTTTCTTCTAACCTCACACACAAAAAAATCTGATATATAATTAATTTACTTAACAATGAGTCAATAAAATATCAAAAGCTGGCAATGGCATGGAGAATTAAATGCATATGACATTTACACATTTCAACAAAAATGAGAAAAAAGAAAGTGCATGGGTGGATTTGATATGGTTGGTTAATGTCTCTTGATTCTTGTATACCATTTATCATATTGTTTCCCCAATAAAAAAAAAAATGATTGTTTTTGTGCATTACAAAAAGGTAGTAGACAGCTCATAAAATAGTAAATTGTTATTATGACTGATAGTTAAACAACAGAAACCTACAGAGAAAAAAAAAAAAAAAGGTACAGACATGCATTAATTTGTCAGTAAATGTTATTATGTTAATGATGATCCCATTTGTAATAATTAAAAAATTAGTATGAAATCTCTGGCTAATCAAGTTTAATTAGTAGTTATCCGTGAAATATCAACATGATCCATAATGAATAAAAGAAAAAGTAAAAGGGTAATATGGTAAAATAAGAGAGGCGAAGAATGAGGATTTGTCGTTATCCGTGATGTCGCAATCAGATGAAGAAGAAGCCATCATCACTCACAGGCGAATCGCGCCGGGCCCGGAGAAGAGCGTCTTCCTCATCTCTCTCTCTCTCTACTTCTTCTTCTTCTTCTTCACTTTCTCTCTGAATCTGCCGTCACAAGGAAGCTTCCGTCTGATTCAAAGCAATCTCCACATGCATTGTTGTTGTACACTATACGAGTCTTCTCAAGCTTCGTCTTCCCCTTTTGTTTGAGAATCGTTTCTAATTTCCTCCGTCGTCAGTTCACGATTCTCTCTCTTTCTCTCTGTCTGCAATGAGTGATTTCTTCGATGAGGTTAGTTTGATTACTCATTCTAGTGTTGTTGTTTCAATCGATTTGGGGTGTTTTTTTTGGAATCGAATCTTCGATTTGAGAAGAAGATGAGACTTCGGGTTCTTCAGATTCGATTCTGCAAGTGTTTTTTTTTCTCCATTTGATTCAAATGTTCCTACATTTGGTCATTTGTTTCTCTTAGGAAGGATCATGAGAGAAGACTATTTTAGGAGTTTTACTAATCTTGGAACTGTTTAGTGTAGTCGTCACTTTCTTACTTATGACAAGAGAAATTAGTAATTCATCAAATTAAGAACAAATTTTGAGTCTAACTAAATCAAGTTGTACAGTGTTACTGTTTGACTCAAGATTTTGATGTATATATCTTCAGGGGAAGCAGCAATTCGCAAGTGTTGCAGATGGGAATGCACCAGTCAAGTATCCAAGCTTCAAGCCACCTAAGTCGAGTTTCGGAGATGGTGGCAAACATAGCGCCATTGGTAAAGCTAATATGGATTATGCTCTTCTAAATCAGTCTATCATGATCAAATTCAAAAGCATGCTAATGTGTAAACTGACCTTCTGTTTTTTTGCTATGTAGATGTTTTTCCACTTCTTGTCAAGGAGGCTGCATATCCTTTGATAGAAGACCGTGGCATCGATACTTCACTGGTGAGTTCTTTATTAGTTTACAAGTCCTTAATGGGGTGAACTCAAGCCCTTTTGACTTTTTCTCTGAAACTAGGATTTTCTATAACATAATGCTAGTATTTGGTTGCATTTGAGCATTGCTAAATCTGAGAACTACATATATGTTCCGAAGCATTGTGAAGTGTATGCTAAGTCCTCCAACTCTGCCATATTTGTATAGGTCCAAGACATGTGTACTATCTCAGTCTTACCTGATGAAGGAAATACAATCCCACAATGCACCTCGCAGTTTACTCTCTTGAGCTTCGTCAAAGCTCTGCTTCCATCTAAAAATCAGATGTTGTTTGATGCGCAACTGAATTGTCAGAAAACGCAGAACCGCATCAATGTGCTACTGGGAGGTACAGATTCCTACCAGTCATGCGTTGTTGACATAAACGTCGAGAAAGGGAATGGTGGTGATACTGTGACATCCCATGACGAAGTTGTTGGAAGTGGGAAATCCGAGAGTGTAGTAAGCTCTTTCTATTTGTCAGCAACAACATTTGCTAGTTTGTTTGGTCCATATCGAAAAGATGATATCTAAATGTCTTACTCTTATGTGGTTACTATGTCTTTCACAGCATATGCAAAAGGTATTACAGAGACAAGCAAGCTTGAGTACTGGTAAGATAACAATATTTCATTGAAGTTGCATAATTTTAGATTATGCACTGAATCCTGAAAAATTTATGCAGACAAAGCTATCTCCGAGCGATGCCACGATGCACCAACAAACAGGTGGAGAAGATACAAGCGTGCCGCTTCATTTGATTCAAGAAAAATCGTCATCCTATTCTCCATCTTGTAAGTAGTATATACCTCTACGTACTTAATGCGAATAAATTTACACTAACAATGCATTCACTAATAACTTTAAATGTCTTGGATTGCAGATCAAGTGTGGGAACATTGATATTGATCTACCTGACACTGAGAGTGAAGCAAAACGGAGACAACAATAACAGCTTCAATCACATGTAAACTGTAACATCTCTTTTGGCCTTTTCTCTCCTTTGCTGTCTCGCTGTTTTGAATCTCTTTCCCAGAACTTGTCTTTTGTTCCAAGTTTCATAATGTTGATAATAACACTTGCAAATGCTTAACGCGCCTGTAACTAAACAAGAAGTTAAAAAAGTAAAACAAAAGTAGAATCAACAGTGCTTAGCATCGTGATCATCAATTCATCATTACTCTTTATACCAGAACGACAACAGGTCTTGTGATCCCTCAAAGATCATATGCAATAAATACGAATCTTCAAAAAAACCAAGTTAAATAATTGTATGCAAATAATTAACAAGTGTTATTTAATGTTAAATGTATCCCTAAGATGATATAGCACAAACTTTTCTTGATATTTTGGTTCACTAATTTATTCGAATAAATCAACAAGAACACTTACTGTGTTACAAGTATCATTAAGCTGATAACACTTGCGAATGTTTAATTAACGTGTGACTAAAAAAAAGATTCAAAAGTAAAACAAATGAAGAACAAATAAAAGGATAACGTTTTCCGTTTTCCAAGAACAAAAGAAACAACAACAAAATCTTCCCGCCGACAATCATAGTTGTCAAAACAAACGGCGATGTCCAATTCCGCCGCCAAAGAATCTCCGTCGTTTCCGTTATCGTCATTACCAGATGAAGTGGCTTTGAGCTGTCTAGCTCGAGTCCCGAGATCGGACCACTTAGCCTTATCTCTCGTCTGCAAAAGATACCGTTCTCTCGTACTATCCCCTGAGTTCTACAAGATGCGATCACTATTGGGTCGCACAGAGAAGTGTATCTACGTATGCGTAAGTCCCCATCCTAACTCAACCCCTCTCTGGTTCATCCTCCGCCCTGAAAAACCCAAAACCCTAGAAACCTCCGCCGTGAATCCTCGTCTTATGCGTCCGATCCCTTCGTTCCCCTTTCAGCCTCCGCGAACATCCTCGGTGGTGGCACTGGACTGGGGGATTTATGTAATCGGTGGATTTGGGTTAAACGAGAAGCCCACTTCGGATGTCTTGCTCTTGGATTGTCGGACTAACACGTGGCGCCGAGTCCCTTCCATGAGAGTGGCTCGATTTAGTCCTGGGGCTGGAGTCATGGACGGGAAGATATACGTGTTCGGTGGCCGACCAGACGATGATTCCACCAACTGGGGAGAGGTGTTTGATCCAAAGACTCAAACTTGGGATACTTTAGTGCCATTGCGGGATAGGAGTGAAAAAGATGGTTTCATCCGCGAGAGCCTTGTTAAGGAGGACAAGGTTTATGGAGTGAAATGGTTTGAAGGAAGTGTTTATTACTCTCCTAGTGATGGTAAATGGGGAAGAACGAATAGGCCAGATCTTTTAAGTTATTGTGTAGTTGAGGAATTGTTATACGGTTTTGATATGAGCTTCGGGCGAGTGTTTTGGCGCGAGTCTGATGAATCGGAATGGAAGATAGTTAAGGGTTTGGAAGCTCTGCAGATGATTTTTCATGGGCAGTTTTTTGGTAACTCTATGTTCTCTAAGAATATCAGCCAAGTGAACTCTTTTGGTGTGAACGTTGTTCTCTTCTGGCTTGAGCGTAGTGATGATGATGAGAGATTGGATGTTTGGTGTGCCGAGGTTTCGTTCGAAAGACGAGAGGAGAAAGGGGAGATTTGGGGTACGATTGAGTGGAAGGAAGCTGTCACAACAGTTGATCGTGCTCCTTTTGGTCCCTTTGGTGGCGATCATAATAAGGTTTTGTATTCTGCTACCGTCAATATCTGATAAACTGATCAACTCCAGAACAAGGCAAAGATTCACTTCTGTAAAAATAGTAATCCTTTTCTCTTTGATGTTTTATATTCTGTGTCTGTTAATAAGATGAAAATCACAAAACTAGCTTGATCCCTTTTGTTTGCTTCACAAGTTTCTTTAATGGAATATGTATTTTGAATCAACAAGAACAGCCTCCACCTCCACCTCCTCCTCCTTGTTGCTCACCTTGTGATGAATTTGAAGTGGTCTTTAGATTCACATCAACCATGTCCTCTGATTTTGTTGCCAATGAATATGTGTCCACACCCGGTAAAGCTGCAGCAATCTTCCGGAACAAAGCCTGCAAATTGAAGAGGTTTGGTGTTAGAAATCAGACAACAAAAACACTCACTCGCGCTGGCTTTTGATTCTAGTTATTTCATCATACCTTAATATTGAAATTTTCTTTGGCACTGGTCTCAATGAACATCACTCCATACTCTTTACCCTTGTCTTCCCCTTCACTGATTGATACTTGCCTGTTTTCATTATATCCAGATTGAGACATATATAAGACAGAGAGAATTATATTTTTGCTTATTGTTTTTTATTTACCTTTTTTCAACAAGATCAGTTTTGTTTCCAACAAGAACGATAATAACATCGCTTTGACCTCTTTCTCTGTGTACATCATCGATCCATTTCGAGGTATTCAGAAACGTTTGCCTATCTGCAACACAAGTATTGAACACATAAGACACAAAACGGTGAATCAAAGAATCAAGAGAGAAACAAAGCAGGACTCACTGGATACATCATATACAACAATGGCAACAGAAGAATCTCTAATGTAACTTGGGATTAGACTCCTGAATCTTTCTTGTCCAGCCGTATCCCTTCAATCAAAAACTCGTTTTGTTATTCTTTTGAAACTAAAATGTTGGTTTTTAGGGTAAATAGCAAAAGTAACATTGTTATCACCCACCATAGCTGCAAACGAACTGTTCGATCTTCGAGGTACATTGTTTTCGAAAGAAAATCGATTCCGATGGTAGGCTGCAACGAGAACACAGTAAAGGCTTAATGACTAAATAACACGTAATTAAAGAGATATTACACCTAAAGCAAAAAGTAACAGTGCTTAGCATCGATCTTGATCGTAATAATAAGAAGAACAGATTGATCAACAAATTCATTGAAGAATTGTGGAAAACCAAGTGATCAACGACGTAATATAGGAAACCAAATAATGAATCAGATCAAACAATAAACGAAAACCAAAATAAACTAGTTGTCACAGAGAATTTTAATCAATCAACAAAGAATTGAAAGGAAACAATTTTTAATCATGGAAGAAATGAATTGGTGTTTAATACCTGGTAAGTGGTGTCGAATTTGTCATACATGAAACGAGTGATGATGCTGGTTTTTCCGACAGATTGATCTCCTAAGAACACCAGTTTAAACTTTGCCAAAGGTGAAACCGCCGCCATGTTCTGTTCGAAGAAGAAGGAAAATAAGAAAAAAGTGTGATTCAAAGATCCGAAGATTCAGAGTTTTGTCTTTCTTAGGTCTCGAAGAAGAAGAAGAAGAAGAGAAGGAGAGCACGACGACGATGATGACTCGGTCGCACACAAAACTTGACAGCCCTTCACAAATCGCCACGCGCCAAGATTTTGTAACACCGATCAAAACTATTCAACGATTTCCGCGGGGACTTTATATAGAGAGCGCGTCCATGTAACTCCCTGGCATGCGGTTGGGTAATCTTTAATACGTTTTATGTAATTTGCTTTGGTTTTGTATGTTTTCTAAAATTTATAGATACAAAAATTTAATAGTAATTTTTATAAAATAATAACTAGTTTGATATATTTGCTAACCATGTTTCGAATGAAATTTGCATACATTTCTCACCCATTTCTTTAGCTTTTCTAACTTTTGGGGTGGTTTTGTTTTTACAAAAATGCAATTTGAAAATTCCACTGGAGGAGACTTGTATAAAATACTAAACACCAAGCTACTAGTCCACAATGTGATGGGATTTTTGGGATGATCAAATATTTGCTAAGCTAGTGAAATGTTACAGAGTTTTATCATACGTTTTTGCATCTGCGTAATGTGATTGAACATTTGCACATAAACCCAAATCAACAGACAATAAGAGGTTTTCTCAAAACTTTAAAAGACAAACAAAAACACCATCACCTGAGTTATCACTTATAGATTGTACTTAAAGAAAAAATGAAGTTCATAACCATTTCTAGATTAAGAGCTTATGATTCAGATTTATTAGCTAAAGAAACACAAACCCAGATCCTCATAAACCCTACTTACCAACAAATCTCATGTTGCTCCATGGAAACTTCGCCATCCCCGCCGCCGCCGCCGCACCAGCCCTCGTCGGAGAATTAGCCCTTTCACCTCCACGACGACCTTTACCTTTACCATAACCGCCGATCTCCCTCTTCTCCTTGCGATCAAGCCAATGACTCTTCTTATCATCTTCTTCCTCAACAAAGCTAGATCCTTTCACTTTACTCTTCCTATCTTCCTCGATAAACTTCACCGGAAACAAATCCCTAGAAATCGACAAAGGGGTACGTAGCGTGACGTAAGCCTTCTTGTAATCAGCTTTCGCAATCAACAAACCTCCACGCTTCTTCTTCTTCCCATCCATGTTTAGTGTATTCACCTTCTCCACATCGAATCCGTAGAGTGACTCGAGGACTCGTTTGATCTCGATCTTCGACGCGGAAGGGATCGTTTTCAACGCGAATTCGTGAATGTTCGTGAGCTTTGCAGGCATCAGAAGCTTAATCGGAAGATTCGCGAAATGAACCACACGTCCTCCCAATCTACTCCCCATTTTGAAATCGGAGTTTTTAGGTCAGAAATGAAGAAAGCAAGGGTTTTTGTTTCTTCTTCTTCTTCCCTAAAATCCCTCTTCACTCATATGCTTTAATGGGCCTTAATGGGCCGAATGGGCCTAATAGGTCGTTTTATTTTTGTTATTTCAGTCCCAAAAATCATCATTACCAGCGAGAGTAACAGAGATGTGATTTTAGCCAGTTACAAAGGTAAAGACAACAACATTTCTTTTACTACAGATTTACAATAACAACAACAAAAGAAGCGAATCTCTCACTTGAATTCATTTCGTTTTTCTTTATAATGATCATGACCATCTGCAAAGACCAGGCTCCATTGTTTTGCTGTGAGCTAGAATCTCGTCATACTTTGAGCCATACACAAATCCCCATAGCTGCAAGAATCAATCAATGGTGTGTTTGTTTGTTTCAGTAAAAATGTGTTGCAACAAATTGAAATATGAAGATTTATTTTTCAAGGAGAGGGATGAAGTTAACTACTACCTCCACTTCTTTAACATCAAAGTCCTGAGAGTTTGCGAGACAAGAGTTCCCATATGTCTCTGAGTAAGCACTTGATCCACTTAGCCTACAAGAACACGATGAATCATTGAGTTGTTGTTTGTTTCAATATGATGGAAGTGGGAATATGATTTTAACAGTTTTGGTAGGAAATCTTACAGCTCACTGTCCAGATAGAGAGCAAACCGTCCACCACCGCCTAGAGCTAGGAATTCCTTGGAGCATAAAGTGTAGAATCGATTTGCGCCTGCTCAAATGTAAACTATAATTACAACTGAACAAGGAAACAACTCCAAGAAGTTTTATGTATCTAAGTAATGCATAATAATAATACCTGTGGGACGGTATATTGTGGGTTGTCCTGACTTATTTGTGAAAACAAATGTACTATTGGTTCCCTGACAAAACAACCAACACAAAGATTGTCACTTAAAGTGAAAAGAAAGAAAACGTGATAGATGGAATCTATATAAAGATTGGATCTTTAGAAACAAACCTGATACTTTTTATCAGTTGGTATCAAAGGTGCTTCAACAAGACCACCAAAAACTGAACCTTTTCTGTCTCCAACAACCTGATACACCGATGGTTTCCAATTCCATAGAGCTCAATAAAAGGTTCACACTTTTACCATATAAAATCAACAGTTTGAATCAGAACAAGAATTTCATTTACCAGTAAGCTGAGACCAGGCCAGAGAAGGCTTTTCCTGTACAGCGTGGACAGTGATATACCATGCCTCCATGTACTAGAAAATTGCAACAGGTCAAACGAAATGATCACACACACTGATAGAATATATGAACAACTATTCTTAAGATTTCTAATCAGCTCCAAATGCTTTGAATGTGTTCTCTCACCTATAAAGCAGTATCCATTTCCTCCCTTGAACAAGCGCAGGAAGTGAAGTATATAAGGAACATCTTGACTGGTCCGATAAAAGCAAAGAGGGCTCTGAAATTTCAGGTATAATTGCTTGCACTATTGTTGCTTCTTCTTTGACATTATTATTCTGCATCGGCTTCATCTCCAAGCCATCATACTCAGACTCTTCAGCATCTGGTGTCACATCAGAATTTCCCTTCCGCTCCTTGACCCCGGGAAACTTAACAGCCTGGTAAAAGTTCCTCAAATGCTGTTTGTACTTGGACAAAAAACTCTTTTTTGCAGCACCACTAGTAGCCTCCTTCATTGTTCTAGTAGGATTGGCCGAGGAGGATGATGATGTATCGCTTGTTTCTGCCTCAGAATCTTCTTCTTCTTCTTCTTCTTCGTCCTCCTGATCCTTATCGTTCTTTTTTTCTTTGGGATCTGAAGATAACAGTGAACCAAGGAATGCAGAGAAAGAAGAAGTGTCTGGTTCGTCAACCAAATCCTTAGGCTGCTCTGCAGTGACAGACTCTAGCTGATTTCTCTTAGACTCATCTTCCTCATCCTAATTAAGAAAAAAAAATTGAAAATTAACCAGAGCTCATTAAATGATCACACAAATTGAAACTCCCACCTAGACACACTCAAAATCCTCAAGCAAGCATCAACACCAAAGCCCAAAAAACAGAAACCCATTACACCAAATTCCCAGAGTCAAGAACAAAGATAAAGACTTTAATCCACAAGAACCCTTTTTTAGAATAATAGTTGGATTGGGTCAACACAAAAACACAAAAAGATGAAAACTTTGGTACCGGAAGAGGACGAGCGGAGGAGGGTTTATCAGAGATGGGATTAAGAAGACCAGCGGTGAGATCGGTGACAAAGTGCACTGCTTTGCTTCTGAAAGATTTGTGTTTCCCCATTCTTCTTCCTCCTTTTTAACTCAATCCTATTTTTAGTGAAATTAAAAACTTTCAGATTCCACACGATCCTCTTTGACAAATCTACACCACAAATTGAGTCAGCTTCTCTTCCATCTGTAATTAAGCTGTGATCATTTACCTAAAACGCCATTCTTAGAAAAATTGGAAACAACAAGTTCTAAACAAGAAGACCATCTCTCTCTTTATACCTTTCCTTTACCTTTTCTCTTATCTTATCCACTCTCAAATTCTCCACTCAAATTTTCCTTAAAGAGCTGAATTTTATGGCGAGGGTTTTTGAGACAGCTTAACTAAAAAAGACGATCATTCGGTAAGAGAAGGTGACGAGCTATGAGAAAAGTAGACTCTACGCTTTTAAGTCAATTGTTCATATAATTAGCTTTTGGAGAAAGTCTTCATCCAAAAAGGCTCCATGGCCCAATGGATAAGGCGCTGGTCTACGAAACCAGAGATTCTGGGTTCGATCCCCAGTGGAGTCGTTTTCCTTTTTTATTTACAAATTTTGACAAATCGAAAACGATGACGTATTGAAACATACTTGCTTTTAAAGTGAAGAGTAAAAATGCAGAAACAGTTAAGAAACTTCAAGTACTAGAGACGACAACACCAAAAGGTTTAAAACGATTCGTACAAAGAGCTCTCTTCAGATTTTCCTAAGAGAAAACCGAAAATAGCTGAAGCGTTTTCGACATTTCGCGAAACCAGACTCTAAGAAATTCTAAGGAACCTGAAACATGAGAGCTGAGCATATAGCGTTTAATACCAAATAGCCCCGAGTCTTAGACCAATGAAATGCTGCTTTCACCGCCGGGGGGCTTCCTCACACCACCAAAGTAGTCTCGGGATTCTGACTTCCCGTCTGCGAAAATGTTGTTTCCACTCATTTCCCGGAGTTTAGCTGAGCTTAACTGCTTATCCGCAGTACCAGGTGATTCATCACCTTTGAAAATGCCGTTGCCTGTGAGTTCCTGAAACTTCTGGTTATGTATCTTCTTTGATGTCTTCACAACAGGTTCTTCACTGAATAGTATGTTGCTTTGTCCTCCTGCAGGCTGTTGGAAATTACGAAAAAACAATCTCAATAAAAGAGAAAATTAACTGATTGGGGCACAAAGCTTCAGTTTCCTTTGAAACCAATGCCAAGATAGATTTACTTACATTGGAAACTTTAACAGAAGTGCGTAAGTTCCTTGGTGCAGGCTCTCCCATGTCTCTGTTACCTCTAGCTTCTTGCTGTGCAGCAACCAAAGATCGAGGCTGGATCTCAGATGGAGGTCCAAAGATGTCATGACCGCTGATCTCTTCAATCTTAGCACTTGATATCTGCTTGTTGCTCTTTAAGTCTGCCTCGGTTAGCAAGTTCCCGCTCAGCTCTCTTTGCTTTGCAACCTCGGTTAAAGTGGTTGGTTTCTTCGGGGAAACATTACCGTCAGCACTGAAAGATATCTGACTCATTCCATTCAGCGTCTGCTGCAAAATCCAGAGTACATTACATAACTACCATTTCGATTCACACTTGTCTAAATCTGTTGAAACATAAGACAAGACAAGTAAAGCTACCTGATAGTAACGGAGTCCAGTCTTTGGATCAGTAGCATCGGATTCAGACCCAACTTTTCCCTTATCATTAAATATGCCACTACCAGTCATCTCTTTTAACTTGTACCCTGAACAATTCTTCCTGTACAAACCATAACACTGCCTTATAGATCGGTAAAGCAACAACCTTTACATGTAATGTAATGGTTATGGATTGATGAAACCATCATTAAAGAATTTAAAATAACAAAGAACAGTAGTAGTTTGACATGTAAATGGTGTGGGGCTTTGATGAATGTAATAAAATATGAAATTAAAATCCTCAGAAAAGCCAAAAGCATTTGACCAATCCCTTTCATAAATTCATCACTCAGAAAAAGAACTGACTTCATCATACAAAGGAACCATTTTTGTGAAAAAGGTAATCACTTTCAAGAGCAAGATCAAGCCTTTTTAAACTTTCATTTTTCAGGTGTAATACAAAAATCAAATCCAGGTACTTAGATCTGGTAATGCAATGAGAGATGAGATTCTTTTACAGCTTATTAAGCGACTGAGCTTCCTCATCTGTGATCTGACCACCGCCGAGAATCTTGCTGATTCCATCGGACGGCTGAAAATGAAAGAAGAAAACTCAGCTTCTCTATAGAAAGATTAAATATAAAAAGTGAGAGCATTTGTTGAAAAAACGGACCTGGTGAGAACGAGCGGCGGAAGAGGTTGAGTGGTGAGGAGGAGGAGTTTCCGACCAAGAAAGCAGATCGGCGGTGGAAGTGTGAGGGTTTCTCACCGGCGTGTTTCTCTCCATTTTTATTTTCTCTTTCTTCTGATTCAAAAGGAGAGTGAAAATGTTTCTTCTCCTTCAATAGAAAGATATTTTGTTTTTTTCTCCTTTTTTTTTTACTTTAAATCAGCAAAAAAGAGAGATAATTAGTGTAAAAAGCATTACAAGTTTAGTGTTCTATCAACAAAGATTAAGAGCCAAATATTAAATTGTTATTTATTGTCATGGCAGAAATAGAGTTTTATTTTAATGTTTGGATAACTCAAGAATCTAATCCAAATCGAATGAAATTTATTCATGTATCAAATGGATTGTTTTTACAGAAGAAGATGTACAATTGTATATAGAAATAAATACTGAAAACTTTATTAAATACTATAAACATAAGAGTAATTACACTATATACCCTAATACTGAGAAGTATTTAAGTTAAAGAAGAAGTGGCAAACCTGTAAATAAATGATCATATGAAAACATGATAAAAAGACTAAAATACTCCCAAAATCAAACACTTCCTTATTTCTTCCTTCCTTCTTCGTTTCTTTTTTTTATTTATTTTTTTTTCTTTTTTTTTTCTTTACTTTATGATAACCCCAAATAAATGATTATTCTTAATTGTAAAACTGATTGTATCTAAAATTATGATATTTTAAATTCATTAAACTCATCGCATTTTTTTGATTAAAATGAACTCAATAAACCTTAAAAAAAATTCGATATAGAGACGTCGTATGTTTGGGTGTCGTTCGTTATTATTGAGCTTCTGTTAGAGATGATTTGAGACACCGTCAACCGACGACGCTAAGTTTAAATAACGTTTTTCACTACAGCTACTGGGATTATTGTGGGTTATGCTTATTTCTTTATGACTTCAAGAGACCCAACGTATCAAGATTTCATGAAAAAGTTGTTTCTTTCTAGGCAGAGGAAGTTGCTTAAGAGTCATAAGTTTGATGTTGAGAGGTTTAAGGAACTTGAGAATAAGTGGAAGATAATGTCTTGCTCTTCATCTTCGTGCCACGCAAATGCATCGATTCGGAATCGTGTTGGTGTTGATCTTGATTTGGAGGATTCTTTGCAGAGTCGTCATAGAGATTGACTGGTTTTTTATGATCCAACATTAGTTTCTGGTTTTTCTAACCATTCTCTTTTTGATTATATATCATGATATATAGTGATATATCGGGAAATACACATGTGTCTTACCAGGAAACACATGGTAAGACATTTTCGGAAGCAAAATTCTCGCTATTTATTCCAGGAGTAAATTCGTCCGATTTTTCGAAACCAAAGATTTCTCTCTCTTGTTTTGCAAAGAATAAAAGTTGTGTATGTACAAGCTTCTCAAATAATAATTAGCATACATCTAATTGACTCTAAACATAAATCAAATCTTATGTAAGATGTTAAAAAAAAAACAAAATCTTATATTATTCAAATCTTTTTTTAGTTTAATTTCTTTTTATTGTTTTGCAGCATTTTGAATATTAATTGCATATTGTCGACAATTAAGTTTAAGTTGTAAGATATTCAAATATAAAGCAAAACTAAGATCAAAATTAATAAGTACATTAAATCTACAAATTAAATTTGTGGAATCGGCTAACGATCAAACGGCAAAGTCAAATGAGAGTATCCAAAATCCGTATAATTTTTCCATTATTTTTGTCATTTTAAAACCTTTTAAAAACAAACTAGAAACTTGTATATTAAATCTAAAAACTGATACGAAAATAAATTGAACTTGTGAAATCAAGCTAACGATCAAATGAGGACATGATGCCTAGGCGCAGTTAATTTTCGACAGGTTTAAAATTTAACACTTCAACTAATTTTTAAATTTTTTTTGAAATTTAATGATTTTTTGAAATTTCATGGTTTTTTTAAAATTTTAGTGAAAATCATTATTATTTTTTAAATATGAGTTTAAGTGTTAAATCTATATTACGTGAAAATATAGCCAAACTTCGAACACCAAAGCTTACGAACAAACTAAGGAAATGATGCATAGATGCGGTTAGATTTTGACGTATTTAAAATTTAACACTAAAAAACTAAATTTAAAATTTTTTTTAATGATATTTCATGGTTTTATTCTTAAAGTTTAAGTGTTAAATTTGTTTAAAATTTTAGTGAAAATCATTAATATTTTTTTAAAAGGAAGTTAAGTGTTAAATCTATATATTACGTGAAAACATTATTGCCGAACTTCGAATACCAAAGCTTATGGACCATCTAAGGACATTATGCTTAAGCGCGGTTAGTTTTCGACGTGTTTAAAATTTAACATTTAAACAATGGTTTTATTCTTGAATTTTCAGTGTTAAATTTGCCTTAAATTTTAGTGAAAAATCTTTATTATTTTTTAAAAATAAGTTTAAGTGTTAAATTTTATATTACGTGAAAATATTGCCGAACTTCGAACACCAAAGCTCAAATAATTTTTAAAAAGTTTTAATGCAAAATTTTCTGTATTTTTAAAAATATTTTTTTAGTGAAAATCATTATTCTTTTTTAAAAATGAGGTTAAGTGTTAGGTGAAAACATTGCCGAACTTCGAACACCAAAGTTTACGGAGCAACTAAGGACAAGATGCGTAGGCGCGGTTAGTTTTCGACGTGTTTAAAATTTAACACTTAACTAATTTTTATAAATTTTTAATAAAATTTCATGGTTTTATTCTTAAAATTTAAGTATTAAATTTGTTTTAAATTTTAGCAAAAATCATTATTATGTTTTTTAAATGATTTATAAGTGTTAAATCTTATAACGTGAAAACATTGCCAAACTTCGAACATCAACGCTTACAGACCAACTAAGGACATGATGCCTTTTTCGACGTGTTTAAAAATTTAACACTTAAACTAATTTTTAAAATTTTTTAATGAAATTCCATAGTTTATTTTTAAAGTATAAGTGTTAATTTTGTTTTAAATTTTTAGTGAAAATCATTATTATTTATTTATTAAAAAAGAGGTTAAGAGTTAAATCTATATTACGTGAAAACATTTCTGAACTTCGAACACCAAAGCTTACGGACCAACTAAGGAAAGGATGCATAGACGCGTTTGATTTTGACGTATTTAAAATTTAACGCTAAAACTAAATTTTAAAAAAAAAATCATAGTTTTATTCTTAAAGTTGAAGTATTAAATTTGTTTTAAATTTTAGCAAAAATTATTATTATTTTCTACGTATGTAAAATCTAACACTAAAACTAAAATTTAAATTTTTTAATAAAATTTCATGGTTTTATTTTTAAAGTTTAAGTGTTAAATTAGCTTTAAATTTTAGCGAAAATCATTATTATTTTTTACGTATTTAAAATATAACACTAAAACCAAATTTTAAATTTTAAATTTTTAACGAAATTTCATGGTTTTATTCTTAAAGTTGAAGTGTTTGGTTTTATTCTTAAAGCTTATGTGTTAAATTTGATTTAAATTTTAGCGAAAATTATTATTATTTTTACGTATTTAAAATTTAACACTAAAACTAAATTTTTAATTTTTAAATGTCAAATTTTCTGGTTTTATTCTTAAAGTTTAAGTGTTAAATGTTTTTTTAAATTTCAGCGAAAATCATTGATATTTTTTACGTATTTAAAATTTAACACTAAAACTAAATTTTTAATTTTTTTAATGAAATTTTATGGTTTTATTCTTAAATTTGTTTTAAAGTTTGTGTTAAATGTTTTTTAAAATTTTAGCGAAAATCATTATTATTTTTTACGTATTTAAAATTTAAAACTAAAACTAAATTTTAAAATTTTTAATGAAAAACCATGGTTTTATTCTTAAAGTTTAAGTGTTAAATGTTTTTTTAAATTTTAGCAAAAATTATTATTATTTTTTATGTATTTAAAATTTAACACTAAAACTAAACTAAATTTTAAATTTTTTTAATGAAATTTTATGGTTCTATTAGTAAAGTTTAAGTGTTAAATTTGTTTTAAAGTTTAAGTGTTAAATGTTTTTTTAAATTTTAGTGAAAATCATTATTATTTTTTACGTATTTAAAATTTAACACAAAAACTAAATTTAAAATTTTTTTAATGAAATTTTATTGTTTTATTCTTAAAGTTTAAGTATTAAATTTGTTTTAAAGTTTGAGTGTTAAATGTTTTTTTAAATTTTAGCGAAAATCATTATTATTTTTTACGTATTTAAAATTTAACACTAAAACTATATTTTAAATTTTTTTAATGAAATTTTAAGGTTTTATTCTTAAAGTTTAAGTGTTAAATTTGTTTTAAATTTTTTTAAAAAATTATTATTATTTTCTACGTATTTAAAATTTTAACACTATACTAAATTTTAAAAATTTTTAATGAAATTTCATGGTTTTATTGTTAAAGTTTAAGTGTTAAATTTGATTTAAATTTTAGCGAAAATCATTATTATTTTTTACGTATTTAAAATTTAACACTAAAACTAAATTTTAAATTTTTTAAATGAAATTTCTTGGTTTTATTTTTAAAGTTTAAGTGTTAAATTTGTTTTAAATTTTAGCTAAAATTATTATTATTTTTGACCTATTTAAAATTTAACACTAAAACTAAATTTTAAATTTTTTTAATGAAATTTCATGGTTTTATTCTTAAAGTTTAAGTGTTAAATTTTTTTAAAATTTTAGCGAAAATCATTATTATATTCTAAAAATGATTTTAAGTGTTAAATCTTATATTACGTGAAAACATTGCCGAACTTCGAACACCAAAGCTTACGGACCAACTAAGGACAGGATGCCTAGGCGCGGTTAGTTTTCGACGTGTTTAAAAATTTAACACTTAAACTAATTTTTAAAATTTTTTAATGATATTTCATGTTAATTTTAATTTTAGTGAAAATTTATGGTCTTATTCTTAAAGTTTAAGTCTTAAAATTGTTTTAAATTTTTGTAAAATTATTATTATTTTTAAAAAACAATTTACTAAAAAACATTATTTGTAAAAAAAAAAAAGACATTTAAAAACAAAAGAGAAAAGAAAGTGTTATTACCTGGTTTGGATTGGGGTAGTGAGGAGAATTAAAAGCCCAATAGCCAAGGCCCATTAATTAGCCTTCACTGCACCGACT